TGCTGCTGATCTGTTTCATGTTGCTGCTGATCTGTTTCATGTTGCTGTGTTCATTCATGCTCATCTGCTCACACAGACTCATGTTCATGCTGCTGTTAGGCGTAATTTTTTTCATACTATTAGTGCTTAGCGTATTTTTAGTTAATGTTTTTCTTAGTTCATAACTGAGAGCTTATTGCTGTTTTTCATTTATATTTTATTGTTGAATGTAACAAGGACCCGTGTACACAATTTTGTTTCACCACATGTACCACATGAGGTGTGTAAGAAAAAAGAAGAAACTTTGACTCTGACTCTCTCTGAGCTAAAACTCCAGAAAGCCAGCAGGTAAAATCTTAATGTACACAAAGGTTGAAGTCGACCCCCCCCCCCCGAATAAAAAATACAGTGTTTCCCCTAGATAACTTTCTATGGCGTTGGCTTCTGGACCATGTAGTTCTTTTGATTTGCATTAAATGTAGGATTACTGAAAGAAAACTACAAAATGGCGGCGCCTGTCTGAAGTTTTTTTTCTTCCTTGTCCTCCCGCTCCCGTTAACTTTTTCTCCCGTACCGTCCCAATCATGTGAGTAATCTTAACGTTGACAGTCTTGTGTCGTGTGCAATCTTACGTTGAAAACCCGCGAAAGAGCGAATCCGCGAATGTCGGAACTGCGAAGAATTGAGAGACCACTGTTCTCGCTCCTATCTGATTGGAGAAAATCCTGCACCGTCTCTCACATGTGACTTAAAATGAATGTGACAGAAAAACTTGAGTAGTTTTGAAACAATGACTGTGGAGAGCAGCTTCTTCAACCCCTAAACCAATCTCAAACTAAAGAGCGTTAAAATGCATCATTACAAATATTTCTATCAGACGGTGTTGCGCAACAGCATCATTATCGCCTTCGCTCGTTACCGTCCGGCTGTTTTCTCCCAATAAAACTGCGTGTGACCGTAAAGACCCCGGGATTTTCCACTAACTCTCTCTTTGTGAGAACCATATTGTCGCAGCCGCCTGCCAGCACTGCAGATCAGCATCGGAGTGTAAATGCCCGCATGGATTTAGTGGCTTAAAAATGCAATAGTGTTGTAGAGGGGATCTAAAGTCTGCAGTTGGACCCTGGTGTAATTGCACGCCAGCACAAAAGATTTAGCCACTAATGCTTCGAAAGGAGAGCACAGGAAAACTAACAGTATGCTGACGCATCACATCCACTCCTGCTCGTCCCGTTAGTCAGCTGTTGCCTATCTCAGGTCTGGTAAATCACACCCACCATGCTAACTTGGCAGAGCTCCACCCCGGCCCCCGCCCGCTGACCCGTTTCTAAATTTGTTCAAGTGCTGACCTAAAAGGTGGAGGCATCATTCAGATAGATCTCATTAAGGCCTTCTTTCCCTGGTACTCTTTTTTTTTTTTTTTTTAAGTTTCTCAACAAAGCTAAAGGATTGGTTCGAGTTTGTTTTTATGGTGTTATGAGTTTTAAGCTAACGAGGCCTGGATCTGAACCCATGTTCCCTCTGAGGGGCCGTGGACTCTGGTTGGATCAGTCACAGTGGTACACGGGGGGCTGGAGGGCGCTCTGCCAGACTGGCTGCTTCAATACTTCCTCTCTCCCGCCATGACCCCTGTTAGAGAACGTTAAAAAAAAAAAAAAACACAATTCGAATGAATAAATGAATAAAATGTTTCTCTTTACGTATTCAAATATAAATAAAGGTCACTTTACAATGTTAGTCAAAAGCAGCTTCTGTATCGTGCATCAATTAGATAATACATTTGTTTTTTTTATCGTCCCTGCCCCCATCTTAGTTTGAAAGGTTACCAAGTGCTGTTTGCGACCATGAGTTTGTAGATTCTTAATATTTTTAGAGGTATAAATCACTCAAAAGGATTTATTTTCTTTGCTCAGGCGAACAAGGACGACATTCTCCAGATCTCCAAGACTCCAGCCTGTCCAACCAGTACATGAAAAGGTAGGAGTTAAAAACAAACAAACAAACAAACTGTGGATTATTAGTGAAACGTGGTTCAGGTTTAAGTTTGTTTTTGCGTCTTTCACAGAAGAAGAGGCTTTCGATTCACGCCGGGACTCTCCGAAAAGAACAATGACCCGGATAGCGAACCAGATGACATCAGCCCCATAAGCCCCATTCCCCCCCTCTTGACAAAGACCAGCAGCTCTGAGTGGAACAGCTCAGACGACCTCGCCGGACTTCTTTCTGACCAAGAAGGTACTGGTACGGCTCACGTGGACTCGCGCAGTCTCCCTCCTCCTTTACCTCAGAAAACCTTGGGCTCTAATCTGTCTGGCGTCCACGCCACACCAAGGGAGGTGCCGCCGCGGCTGAGCCCCCGCAACGAGTCCACAAACGGCTTACCCATCCCCTCGCACGCCAACATGCGGTGGTGGATCGAGACCCCCACCGAGCACAGACTTTCATCCGACACTAGTTCCAGGTCGGGCTCGTCGGACCAAGACCGGAACGATCTGTCGGCGAGTGAAAGCGATGACAGGTTACCAAGTCCAAACCCACGACCTGGTGATGGTACGGACTCCCCGTCCCTGACGGAGAAGGTTCTCCCCACCACTTTCTTCTCTGTGGACAGCTGTATGACGGACACTTACCGGGCCAAATACCACAAGAAGCCTGGCTTGTACAGGAAGGCAGAGGACCACACCTCATCAGGGGAGAGTGACGCCGAAGGAAGAGGTCTCGGTGTAGCAAAGGTTCAACCCACTGAGCCTTCAAGGAGCAAACCAGACGCAGGTGAGGAACACGGAGCATTAAAGTTACCCAGAAGTTTCAATTTATCATTCGTTCTTCAAACGTGAGAAAAGGCTAAAAGCAGGTTATCAGCTAAAAACTAGAGAAATGCTTGATCGACTGTTAAATTTTACAGAGCTGAAACTAAAAAAATGAAAAAACGTTAGCCTAAAATTATAGTAGCTAAAAGTAACAAAACGCTAATTAAAAGTAGCAAAAATTATAAAGGCTAAATGTATACAAAAAACTAGCTAAGCAGCAAAAGTTTAGGTGAAAGTAGAAGAATGCTAACTATAAGTAGCAAAGTGCTAACAAAGTAGCAACATTCTAAAAAAAATATCAAAAGCCTAGCTACAAGTAGCAAATTGCTAGTTAGAAACTATAAGTAACAAAAGTCTAAAAGCTAAAAGTGACAAAATGTTAAAACTAAGAAGTAAAAGTATTAAAATGCTAAATCCAAAAAGTAGAGAGATGTTACCTTAAAGTAGTAAATGGCTAGCCAGAAGCTAAAAGTAGCAAAATGCTAATGAAAAGTAACAAAAGTCTACTTTAAATCTAAACGTAACAGGTTAAAACTAAGAGCTAAACATATAGGAATTATTGCTAAAGCCAAAACGTAGCAAAAGGCTAGCTATAAGCTAAAAGCAGAATGTGAGCTAAAAACTCAAAGTAGCATAAAAATAGTCTGTTTGTTGATGCAGATTTTGTAAAGTTAAATATTTTAGAAATATAAAATTTACAAAGAACAAAATTCACAGCACCCATCTTCTAATGCAATGGTTCCCAACCCTGGTCCTTGAGGAACACCATGCTGCATGTTTTAGTTGTTTCCCTGCTTTGACATTTGATTTAAATGAATTGGTGATTAACAGGCTTCTGCAGATCATGAAGTAATTAAATCACTGAATCAAGTGTGTTGGAACAGGGAAACAACTAAAACATACAGGATGGTGTTCCTCAAGGACCATGGTTGGGAACCACTGTATGTTTTTATATATGAACAGCTAAAATAGCACAAAGTGTGTAGAAGTGGTTAGTTTGGAGGGGGGGCGGAGAAAAGAAAGAAAATTAAAACAAAAATAGTGAGAATGCTAAATTAAAATTTGTTTTCTCTATTGATTTCAGTCCAGGTCAGACTTGATTTGTGTCTGGATTGAGCTCCGTCATTTGAAAACCCGCTCCTCCCAAAAGCCGATGCCTAAAATAAATTACCACTAATGTGACAAGCACAAGTTAAAAGACAATATCTACATTCTCTTGACATTTAGTAACCAGTCCGGGTCCTGGTTCATTTAGGTCCAGGTCTGGATCGTGGTGTGTTGTTAGAGAACTCCAGTTTGAATGTTTGTTTTATTCCCTGACCTTTGTCTTGCAGGTCGTTCTAATGCAAAGACCTTTGCAAAGTGGAATCCAGTTACTCCAAAAGGTCTCGACGAGCACGGCTTCCTGTGACCGGAGCAAAAACTTCAAACCGTAAATGCTCGCTGGGACAACTCTTCACGTACTCGTCATAGCAGAACGTGGGACATCAAACTGTTTGCCAAAGAGATTGTACAATGAAGGACAGTTGTCTGTAATTCACCTCCGGCTGCTGAAAGCTTTGAATTGTAATGTTTGCACAGTAGAGCGACACATGGGTACAAAAATCTATTTGCTGGACTTTTGGAGCTTGAAAGAATGTCACATGAAGCCACGTTTAACACACAAAAAGTGACATTTTTTTCAAATTTTTATTTTCTTCCACATCTTTCTCACCCACTTTTATCTGCTTTGACCTTTCTGTTTTCAGTGTTATGACGTTTAGTCAAAACGTATTGTAAACTCTCGGGACTTCCCCCAATAATATGTTTTTAACATCATACATAAGTTGGTCTAAATTTGACTTTTAGGATCATGACACTTATTTCCTCTGTGGTTTAGGTGGGAACACTAATAAAGTAATATTCCTGGTTTGAAATCGATTTTAATAACCAATGTCTGCCTAAAAGTTTTAGCAGAAAGACTTAATGTCTCAGTAGAGCTGAGGTGATTGATAATCATGATAAACTGATCAGATATGGTAGAAAACTGTACAGCGCACCTGCTTTACATCTGTCCAAGCACTCTGATAGTTTTAAACACTTTTTACATTTGTATTGTGTCTCTTTACAGTGGTTCCCAACCATGCTCCTTGTGGAACGCCATCCTGCATGTTTTAGTAGTTTCCCTGCTCCAACACACCTGATTCAGTGATTTTATTCAAGTTCTGCCAAAGCCTATTAAGCATCCATTCATTCAAATCAGGTGTGTCAAAGCAGGGAAACAAGTAGAACATGCAGGGGTGGTGTTCCTCAAGGACCAGAGTTGGGAACCACTGGTTTAGAAGAACTGGTAAAACACTCCCATTTGCACTTGAAGGACTTGAATTTGCCACCGTTTAATAACGACATGCAGACTGGGCTTGCTCTTTTTTAGTTTTTGAGGAGGGGTTTGGTTAAAAGATTTGTGGATGTCCGTCTCGTCTCTTGATGTTTTCCTTTTGCAGAGGACTAATAAATGCACAGTGCCTTTTGTATTTTTCTATGTTGAAGCAAAATGAAGCTGGATTTGTACAACTCTGATTCAAACTTTTAATTTTTTTTTGGTAACATTTAATTTTATTTTTATTAACAGATGATAAATAAACCATTTTATTTAACTGTATCTGAGTGGCAAACTGGTGTTTTTCAGTGGACAAAGCTTTAATGAGCTCAGTCTGTGCTCACAGAGCAGAAAGGCTGATCAGGAGTAACTGTGGGGGAAATAAGTGAGGATTTGCTGCCACCTGCAGTCCTGAGTCCTCAGTTTTAAATCCACTACAGCAGGGGTCCTGGCCCTCAAGGACCACTGTCCTGCATGTTTTACTTGTTTCCCTGCTCCAACACCTGATTTGAAGACTGAACGTTACTTCCTGTTCTGCAGAAGGCTGTTAATCACCCATTGATTGAAGTCGGGTGTGTTGGAGCAGAGAACCTTCTAAAACTTGCAGGATGGTGGCCTTCAAGGGCCAGGATTGGTCACCCCTGCTTTAGCACGATGGTTAAATATTGTGCAGTCCAGTTCTGACAAGGGTTCACGTACTTCAGTTATAGTTGGCAACCCAGATCAGAACTAATACTTTTAAATGATGATCGTGTGGGCCAAACTAAATGTTAGCAAAGGCCTTATCTGGCCCGCAGGCCTTGCGTTTGACAGATGTGTTGTAGAGTTTTCAAAGAGACGACAATTTCAACTCTTCTGAGAGATGAATCAAACTAATACAAACTTATTGATGTAGAGCAAGACAAGAACATATTTTTAATCTGACAAATTTGGGGCAGAAAGTGAGATAGGAGATTCTGATGGTCTTTGACATGTCTGTACATTCATTAAAAAAACAAAAGGTACACAGGTAGTAAAAGTTGAGCATTAACATACTTTGAGCACTACAAGAAAAACCTGAACATACTGCTTTCAAGCTGTAGGGGGCGGCAGAGGACTGCAGTGAACAGTGCAACTTTCAGTCCAAAACATTTGCAAGAACAAATGTTCTGCATCGAGATTTAGTGGATCTGCTCGTTTGTTTTCAGGTTTATGGTTTGAATTATTCTTTTAGTCTTTAGTCTCGATTTACAGGATTGTCAGGGTCCTCAGCGACTCTGAAAAACCTGGAGAAAATGTGATCACTGCTCTGCTGATTAAGCAACGAGCTCCGAGATTTTGGCATTTACATGTACATGTATGTGTACATATTCTACAGTGTTCGTAGTACATGTATCCTTACTCATTGTAAGTTTTTGAGTACCTGATGTTATACAAAATACGCTAGTGAAGATTCTCAGTCATCCGGGACACGGTAGTTCAAGACAAAAACAACTGGACTTCATTTGCAACAGAAGACGTTTTGCTTCTCATCCGAGGAACTTTCTCAATTCAAAGAACGGAGAGTGGGTTTCGAGTTCTAAAGCTGATCTCGATACATATGCAGATTACCCTGTCAATCCTCACAATAGGGGTTCGTTAGGGTCTTTGTTAGTTTGACTCGCAGTTATACAGTATAGTTAATAGAAATGATTGCTGCACACATTGTAGGCTCCAGTATACTTCCTGTCATCTCTGGATGTCAGTGACTGAAACACCTCTTGGAATTTCAGGATTTACTCGGGGAAAACTCTGAATTTTGTTTTCTGGAAAATGAAGCGCTAACTTCGATTGTGTGGACTTCATCTGACGACTCGGAGCTGTTCGAATCAGAAATAAAGATGATTAATTGAAAGTAATTCTTGTTGACATGGAGAACCAGTCGTCCGCTCCTCCCCGGCTGGTCGTCTGTGAGTTGCAGTTTTGTAGAGCTTACTCCTGCTGAGTGTGTGTTCTCCTTCCTGTCAGAGCGGTTCCTCCTCTGCAGCTGCCGTTCTTCATTAGGAGCCATCGAGCTCAGCGCTTCACTGTCAGAATCAGACTTGTGGTTTTTTTTATTATTCCTCCTTCTTTTTCACTCCATCTCGCTCATTCAGACCCTCCCTTCAGCTCTCATCTTCTTCTTCCTGATTTCTCACTCTGTCGACTAAACTCGCTGCTTTAACTCTGTTTTTCTTCCTTTCATCTTCATAAATCTTATCAGACAAACCCATTAGTTTTTTAAGTTTCACTTCTGCCTGAAACATAAACTTTGTCACCACCAAAAAGAATTGTGCAATTGAACAGTTACATAAACATACTAATTTTAAAAAAATTAAATTAAAAACCTATCATTCCTTGAAGGAATTCATGTTTCCCGCTGCCTATTTATGCCAGTTTTAGAATACCGTATTTTTCGGACTATAAGGCGCACTTAAAATCCTTGAATGTTCTCACAAATCGACAGTGAGCTTTATAATCCAGTGCACCTTATGTATTAATTCTGGTTGCGCTTACTGACCTCGAACTGATTTTATGTGGTTATTATGAATGAGTTGAATAAAGTTTGATTTATCCGTTTTGTTTCACTTAATGCGCCTTATAGTCCAAAAAATACGGTAAGATGATCTTGTGTTGAGAAATGATAAATGAAGTTTCGGTTAAACCGTGAACTCATATTTTATCTCAATATCTATAAAACTGACTTACATCCATTTGTGTAGTGATTTATGTTGATCAGCTGTGGCGGCCATCTTATATTGGACTAACTCTCAGTAAACTCCTGATTCAGTGGTTCGTTAGATATTTTGCTAACAGGCACTCAAAGTTGACTCCAAATAGACAATGGGAAAAATTTAAACAAAGCTCTCACAATCTGTTAGAGCTTATTAGACTACCATACCATTTTATTTATAGAGCACTTAAAACTGCGACAAGGCCAACCAAAGTGCTGTACAGACAGAACAACAGGTAACACACAAAGCAAAATACAAAATGAAGTAAATCAGAAATATAGACATAAAAACGATGCAGATAATGACGACAAACCAGTGTGGAGCATACAGGTTCAAAACACAGATCAAGTGGTGTTGAAAGCCAATGAATAGTAGTGAGTTTTTAAACGGGACTTGAAAACCGAGAGGGAGGGGGCCTGTCTGACAAGCAGAGGTAACTCATTCCAAAGTCTTGGTCCTGCTACAGAGAAGATGTTCTGAGGGTTGGTCTCAGCTACTACCACACCAATTTCCAAGTCGATATTTGTACAATCTCCTGAGTTTTAGCCCTTGGCTTTGTCAGCCATTTTGAATCAGGTTGACTTCAAAATGAGCGCACCAAAAAAACATTTTCAGTTTATGTTAAAAACGCTGACCATAATTTCAACAAGACCCCATCGGTGTTGAAAATATCCACATAAATGAGAAACTGACATGCAGGAAAAAAAAAAAAGTCTTAGTTTGGTTTATTTTTCTTGGCTTATTTTTACCCTCTTTACAACAAAAACTCAGTTAATAACATTTAAGCCAATAATGGAAGTTCAAAGGATAAAGTGAGACAAATAAAGAAAAATGTAAAAAAAAAAAAAAAAACTTTCTTGAAGATTCTCGACGTCAGCGTGACATCATCCGTCATGTGATGCCAAAACACCATTTTTGGATGGAGAATACTGTTGGATTGCGTAAAATTGATAAAGTGAAGTAGATTGTTTCATTTTTATCTCATATATATGGCCCGATGGTGCTGACCACAACATTTGGCTGTTTAAAGTCGCCATTGAGACGTACTAGTAGAACTATAAGGCAGACAGAAAATCAAGCAGAGTCGGCCTGACCCAAAATAACTTATCTGAATCTGGCTCCACCGTGTCGGTCTTGAATTGGCCAACTATCTCAAACTCTCCTGGAGGTTATGTGAATAAGAAGCTCTGATCCTCACCTCTCCTCCCCGCTTCCTTCCCGAGACATCTGTGGACGTGTATCAAAACTGAGCCGGCTGATAGACACTGCATCATCACTTATCAGGACTATGGGACTATCTGGCAGTGTCCACGGACAAAC